GCGGGGGGAGCTCCTCGCCCCACGGAGGGGAGCTATCTGTTCACAGGGCACGAACCGGGGCTGCAGAAGTGCTGCTGGGTGGTTTTGCCACGACCCCGCTGGCACGGCGAGCGGAATCTGGTTTGAGGAGGGAGAATAAACCAGCTTGAACCAGGACTTGCCCTGACTGAGCTCTGCAGAGCGCCAGGGCCCCGGCGAGCAGCCTGCAGCGGCTCCTCCGAACCCGGCTAAGGAGGGCTGGGATGCACAGAGTGGAAACATTTGGGCAGTTCATCGCAGCTGGTTGGATCCCGGACGATACCCACACCCTGCCTGGTGCTGCAGGAGCTGGGTAAGGCTGCAGGGCCACTGCCAACGACCACAGCCACGACGACCCTCCTGCTTTCAACACCCATCTTCAGAGAAGCCATTGGCAGAGCTCTGGTACATCCACGCTACCCTCCGTTAACAGCCTTCCCAGCAGCTCAAGGACAAACAGCTCCTTCTACAAACCTCTACGCCCTTTAACAGAGCAGCCTGTTTTAAAAGTAAGGGGGGTGATTCTTTTTTCTCGACTAAGGCAGGTGTGCACCTCTCCCAAGCTTTAACACACGGCTCGCAGAGATACCAGAGAGAGAATGGGAGGAGGACAGAGCCCCGGGTCACCACCACTACATCCCTGGAAAGGAAACAGTTTGCAGGAGGCAGGTCAGCCCTAAGAGGAGAAGAGACCGTCCCTCCACTTCCCACTTCTGGAGTCACCTTACCTTGCATAATGTCATCGTGCCAGCAGTAGGTAAACTGTCCGTCCTCCCCACACACGTCCAGGCCACCAAGGTAGATTTTATCTGGCTGACAGTCTTTGAGCTCAATGAGCTTCCCCAGCCCGGTCAGGAACTCCGTGTAGCGATAGGATCCGTGCTCGTTCGACAGGATGGCGATTTCGTTGTTGCTCTAGGAAATGAGAGCGCGGGAGTCCCGCACCGAACGCCAGGAGCACTCCGTCAGCACGAGCGATCGTAGGGCATCACCCTCCTAGAAGGGCTTCGAGCAGGCCCTGAGTTTGAGTGCCAGAGACTAAGGAACAGCAAGGTTCCCGCAGGAGCAGGACAGACCCCCCGTTGGGGTGGAACCCTGACGGGATTCAGGCACACACACACACACACACACACAACCCACCTGCCCTTCCCCGACGTAGAGCACCGCAATCTTGTGCGTGTCGTAAGACGGGATTTGATCCAGCAGCTGCACCGACCTCTCAAACGTCTACGATCGAAAACAGGGGGCACATGGTGAAACAACCCCTTACCTGCCCGCACCCACCGCCCTCCCTCAAACCCCTCCGGGACCCCGACAGCGCGAAGGAGGCGCCGGTTCCTGACCTTCGCTAGCGCCTGCCTCGACGAACGCTGCCCTGCTCTGCCCTGCCAGGGCACCGGGCGTCCCCAGCCCAAGGAGAGGGCAGCGCCGTGCGGCACCTGCCGCCACCCTTCCTCGGGCTCCTGCTTCACGTGAGAGGAACCGGGCAAACCGCGCGGGTTGGGGGGTGCTGCCGAGGGCTGGCAGGTTTGTCTAGTGACGCTCTGCCCGTATCACCCCAGGCTCAGCTCTCAGCCTGCACTCCTCCTGCCAGCAAAACCCCACCACTCCACAAGTCATCCTGCCTTCTGGTGGCTGGGATTCTGAAACAGCACCAGCAAAATCTCCCCCGGATCTCATATCCAATCCAGAGCCATAAAGCAGGAGCCACCAGGGCCGGGGTACAGAAAATCTCCCATCTATAGCACGGAAACACCTTTAAATCCAGCACCATCTGAGCTGGACGTTCAGTATTATCATTTACGGTCACAAAAAGTAATGAGGTTGGAAAAATTGACTATAAGAATTGAAAGAAAAAAAAAAAAAAAGAATCCTTGCCTACCTCATTCGGCAACAAAAGGGGCTTGTTGTTTTCATCGCCGAAGAATGGGGAGTGGTACAACTGTAAAAACACAAAGCTAAGGGGGGGGGAAAGTCCTGTTAGCACAAAAATGAAGTCAGTTTTGATCTGTTGTATGTAAGAGCATTAGGCACAGAAGAAAACAAAGCAGCAATTCAAATGCTAACAGGGTATTACTCATCTTCTAGAGGCACTTCAGGTGCCTGGGCTACCTGCGGTTCGTAGCAGAGCCCTGCCATGAAAACCAGCGGTTCTGTCACACACCAAGTCCCCGCTCGAAAGGCCAACTCGCCCCGACGGGAGGAGCGGGAGCACGCTCCTGCCTCACAGCTATGGCGGGTACTTCCAGGCCAGCAGAGAAATGGATTTTACAGACATTTGCATTCCACCTGCCCTCAGGAAGATGAAGATTGTCTCATAATGCAATTTGGGGCAACCACCAGTATCTACAGTTCAAAAGGCAACTCCCGTAACCCCTTCTCCTCCTTCTCCTTCTTTGTATTTTGCACGTTGTCTTTCTTGAACTGCAAGACCAGCAGTTCGTCCTGTTCCCACCAAAATTCACTCTAGGGGACCCGCATTCAAGCCACACGTGCATTTGGACCCCCAGTCGGGGTGGATTAAGAACATGAAGAAACTATTTATCTATTTCTTTCACCATTTTAGAGACCTGTTTCCTAAATCACAAAGTTAATTTGGAGGCACTGGGTTCAACATGGATTAGCTCCCGAAAAAACAGGTAATTAACCTTCCTTTTCAATCAGACCTTGTTCTGCAGATCCCACAGAACCAACAGGCCACTTCCAGCGACCCCAGCCCCGGCTGCAGCGACGCTGAGCTCACCATTTCGAGCTTCAGGGAAGCCCCTCCACCCACCTGGGGTTTATCCCGGGCACTTTCTCAGCATTGGAGGCTGCTGTTCTGCTCTTGAAGGCGTCTCTCTCAATCCTCTTTCCCCTCCTTGATGGGGCCGAGTCAGAGATGGTGTAGCCTCGGGGCCGGTGCCCAGAGGGGGAGCGAGGGGAGGTGACAGGGCCGGTGCTGTCCGACCCGCCTGACCCAGTCCCTCTGGCATCCTCCCCCTTGCCCAGCCAACTGCCGGACCCTTCCCCTTCCAGGTTCCCAGACTGGGATTTTGATTTCACTTCCGTGCTCAGCCTCCTGGTCACTTCTCTGCCGTTGGCATCTTTGAGGACCTCCTGCAGCGTCTGCAGCTCGGGGGAAGAACTCGACTTGCTGAGGGGCTGGGATGGCTGGAAGGAAAGCTCCTCCAGGGTTCGGCCATCCTCCGAGGGCAGGACCCTCCCGATGGGAATTCCACCCTCCACCAGGTCTTCCGACTTCACAGACTTTTCTTCTTGGCTGGAGGTTGAGGAGGACTTAAAGAGGGAGAAACAAAGATGAACAGTTTTCCCAAAACACAAAATAAAAGCAACGCTCCAGGTCCCCCCCCCACCCCCGACAGGCCCAGCGGAAGATGAGCAGGAAGGTGCCGAGCGCGAAGCCCCGCAGAGCGAGGACCCGGCTGAAAACAGGGATTTACTGCTGCTGCTCTGCCTGCAGGCCCTCACGAGCCACCCAAACTCTCAGTCAGGACGGTGCATCATGGTTTTGGTACCAGTTTGGTACCAAATTCACTTTAGGGAGTTCTTTCAGAGGGTGCCAAGAGGCAACCGACAACTCTCCCCTGTGTCTGAGGACGGGGCTGTCAGACAGGACAGAACTGCTTCACCTGTTTCTTCTTACCCTGCTGTAAGACTCCTGGGGTTTCCTGAACCTTTCCTCGCTCAGGACTTGTTCAGAACATGAAGTCTCAACGTCCTCGCTCTCCGGAGACTCGGCTGGGGACTCGGTTTCCTTGAGCTCCATTTCCAGCGGGCTCCCTTCCTCCAGCACCACCGCGGATTCTACCGAGACACAAGGCAGAAGAACTGAAGTCTGTAGAGGGGCACAGACCGGCAGGTCCCCGTGTCCTCTCCTCTGAAGTACCAGCCTTTTCCCTACGGGATTTCAACAGAAGGCCACATTGAATGAGTGCTCTGGGTCTCTGATTTCTTGCCACGTCAGACTTGCTCCTGGCTCCCCTTTTGTACAGAACAACTGATCACCTTACCCTCACAGCGAAGGGCTGCGGCTGCTCGGGTCAAAATAAGCGCAGTTGTTTCCAATTGGGACTGAGGAACAAGCGGGGGACAGAATGAGGAAATGGGACCTTGTACAGCAACGCTCGGTTACCAGGACAGACAGGAACTACAGGGATGTGAGAAAGTACAAGACCAGCGTTAAAAGTTCGTCATTATCCAGGCAATGAAGACATCAGTTCTATGCAAGGGGGCACGAAAGTCAGTTTTTCTCGTATTGAAATGCTCCTGTGCCTTGTAGCGGCCTAGAAGGAGGCACAGGCACAGGCGCGGCCTAGAAGGAGGCACAGGCGCGGCCTAGAAGGAGGCAAGACATTTTACTAGGAGCCGTTTACTTGCCGTTTGGCAGCTTTCCTAGTATGTCTCAGCAGAAGCAAAACAGTTCAGGCCTGGGCACACGGAAGGACAAGAGCGAGGGGAACACGTGCACTGCAGCAATACTGCGAAACCGGCCCGTGGCGTCTGCTCAGGCAAAGGGGCGATGGAACCCCCCGGACAAAAGCGCCCTGGCAGCCCTGCCTGCGGCGGAGGAGGAGGTTACAGCAGCGTTTAACGTGGTCTCTGCTCCAGGCAGCGACCCTGACCACAGGGCTGAGTCTGACCAAAGGCGCCCCTCGGCCTT